AGCCCGTATAACCTGGTCCGTCCGTGAAATCACAAAGGATTTCAAACCAACTCGTGTCCCAAACCATGATCGTAATAAGTTTAGCGGTCACCATCACATATTACATAAAAAGTTCGCAATCTCAGATACATCAGAGTTTAAACATAGTTATTACAAACCAGTTCGAATAAAAGTAGCGGAAGTCATTTGTTCAAACCACACACACACTCACGCGGAGTTTAAATACAGTGCCAGCGAATGATCATATCCAACAAAAGCATTAGATGAGACGTAAGGAATGACCATGCCCATGGTCCTAAGCATCACCCATCGCAGGATAAAGGCAGTTGATACAATAGCCGTAATATATCTGCCCATCTGCAACAAGTGGGAATAAAACCCTGAGTACGAGAAGGTACTCAGCCAGACTTACCCGACATAACCGAAAATAAATGACACCAAGGATTATGAAGGCTTTATAATAGGGTAGCTGACTCATTTGCAAAAGAAGCATTTTTAGCATTTTAAGAACCTTTCTAAAAGCATTATTGTCAAGTTAATTAGTATTAACCTGTCGACTAGATTTACACCTATACTAGAGTAAACATGTGATTAAGCAATTAATGATAACCACTTATCATTAAACAACTTCCATACTATCATATTCACTATAACTGTCCAAGTGTTCCATAAACATTTACTACGATGAAGTCACTCAAGTCAAGTGCTCACTATCCAGGAGCGATGGCGATTCGAATCGATTCCTAACCAGCTGGTGATTTATTCCTTACACAAATCTCACTCACCCGCTAAAGTGAGATATTGATCACCGAGTCAACTTTCCAGGTATCTCGAGTTTGCCAGGAACCACATGTACCCGGGGGCCGACCGACTGCACTTTGGTCTTATCATCCCGCCCCCGTGTCCTACCACACCTGCTCCGGCACAGTGCGCTGCGGGCAATCTACTCGGCCCGAAAAATCTCCCAGCTTCGTGGTCGGAAGGTACTTTATCCGGCCAGCTAAATGTAAGGCATGCGTTCAACATGACTCGAGGCCCAACAACGGTCGGTCCTTAATCGACACAGACGGAAACACTACAGTCCAAAACTCTGCAAGTCTCCGCCCGGTCTCAACTTCATTTAACACTTAGTTATACCATGACTTCATAGCCATCCAAACAGATCTAGGTAACCACCTATAGCTCGCAGGTGATAGAAAATCACCCGACTTCTACCGGTCTAAGCCAGCTAAGCATTGACTCGACTGCGGATACCAGGGTAACAAGGATATAGTATAACAAAGGTAAACAAGGTATAATGCAGCAACGGTTGCAAACAACTCCTGAACGTAATGCATCAATTTAAGTAAAGTATTTAATGAAATCATTGCAAACCAGGAGAAAGATGCTCCGGGGCTTACCTCTCTCGAAGGAGCTCGGACGGTGATCGGGGCACTCCGGAAGTTCTTCAACGTCCTCCTCGTCGGCTTCTGGCACTTCCTGCGGCTGCACCTCGAACTGCTCCTCGGGAATGACGACTGGGTTCTCGGTTTGCGATCCTGTATGATGCAATGCGTGTAAGTGCCTATGCAATCAGTGCATCGAAGGAGATGAATGCAATGGATATGTTGAAAAGCAAGGTAGTCACATCATCCAAGAAAATATACTACAAGCACATGTCATCTACTGCATTCTCTTCTACCACTAATAGGTTAAGTCAACACATCTTATTAAATGCTTCAAAGATACACCAAAGCTAACATTATTAACTAACTTGCATTAAAGAGGATTATTTTATTTCATTTGAAACTAAGGCTACAACAGCAACCTATATTTCTGGTGCTTATAAAATCTAAGAAAATTACAGTAGCATAGTACTACTCTAAGCAGACTACCATAAAATTTTCATGGCATTTGGATAAGTAAACTATCCTACAAAAATGACAAGCTATAGCATAAAAATGAGCATGAAATTACTTTGTACTATGAAAAGTGTCAAACAACAGATTGAGTATTTTTTCCTATGTTCTTTATAGTATATAATCACAGTACAAAAATTGTCACATGCATGTTTTATACAAAATTTGTGTTCTAGCAAAAATAACAAAAATCAGCCATTAAAAAGGTACTTGAACTACACCTCAAAATTTTCCCACAGCACATGCATGAAACATATTTTTCCTAGGAAGTATATGACATAAGAAGATTAACAAACTTGGAATCATATTTTTCTGAAGCCTATATATTTTCTACATATTTTTCAAGTTATCAGTAATATTCAAGATTAAATAAAATCCTATAGAAAAGTATCTCAAAAATGACATGCACAATTTTTCCCAAGTAGATCTGGTGATAAGAACCTAGAAAATTTTGTTTCAACAAATTTGGAGCAACTTTGAGTATCCAAACATTTTGCAAACCATTTCGCTTTTCAAATAATAAAGAATAAATTGAAAACAATTCTTTCAAACTCTCATCGGGCCGGCCATTTGAAACAATTGGCCCACGGCCGCTCGCCCTCTTGCCCCGAGCGAAAGGAGGAGCGCTTGGCGGCTGGCAGGCTTTCGCCCACCAGTACTGGCTGGCCGGCCTACCGGTCGGTTGGTGAAGGCAGAGGACTCACGCCAGTCTTGTGTGTGTGACGGCGCACAACTTTCGCCCAATGACAACCGGCCATCTCCGGCCACGGCACGCGGCAAAAGCAAGCGCCTTGCAGGAGGTTCGCGAGGCATTGGCGAATGCGATCAGGCAGCTAAGTGGAGAAGGGGAGGAAGGGGGAGTCCCACGGCGGCCGAGCACGGCGGCGCCATGGCCGTCGGTGGCGAGGCGCGGGGAAGCTCACCCTGGGCTCGGAAGGCGGCGCAAACGCGAGCGTGAGTTGAAGGAAGGCGAGGCGGAGTTGCGGGCGCGAGCAATCGGAGAATGGCGCGGTGGTGCGGGAGCTCGACGCCGGCGGAGCTGCGGGCGCGGCGAGCGGCGGAGCTCGAGCTCTCGGCTCTGGAGGGAAGGAGAGGAAGCGCAGGCGGGAGTGAGCGAGCGCACGGGCACCAGCAGGTGAAGGCGGGCGTGGGCGCGGTGCGAACCATGGCCGACGCAAGGCGGCGACGCCGGCGCCGGTCATCGCCACGCCATGGATTTCTCTGCCATGATCATGGCGTGTGCCTTGCACATGACAATGAAGCAGGGCCATGAAAAGTGCTGCGAAGGGAGGCGCAGGCGGGCTGGGCCTGGCCCGGGCGGCTGGCTGGAGCAAGGCAAGCGCGCGAGGCAGCCAGGCCATGGCTGGGCACTGGCCGGGCCGAGGCGAGGTGAAGCGAGGCGCTGGGGATCTTGGCTGGGCTGGGCTTTCAAGAAAGCGGGCTGAAGCGAGGCAATGACCCTCTAAAAACAGAGAACATTTTTTTCAATTTCCATTTTCAATAAATTTTCAAATAACAGTTTTCAAATATTATTTTGAGCAAGAAAATGACCTCTTTTGAAAATGTACCAAAAATGAAAGTTGTTTAGAATTTAATTCTCTACAACTTTGCTTTTATGACCAAAGTCCAATTCTATCTAGATTTTAAATTATACAATCAAAGTTAAATTTTAACTCAAAACCCTAATTTTTGAGAATTATTTTTAAAGAAAAATTTGGCAATAATTCAAATACAAACCTTGCTCCAAAAATTGTGCTAAACAATTCTAGATGATTTACAATAGTAGCCAAACATGTTTTACTAACCTAGCAAGAAAATTTCAGGGCAAAACAATTCTAATAAGTGTATGCATCACTTACGTTTCACAAACATGTTTCGTATGTTTCGAAGTAATGTTTCAGTTATTATATGCAAGATTATGCATGTATGATTAGGATGCTTGATGATGCATGATATGCGTGATTTGCACTGCCTAAATACAGGCATAACACCGGGGTGTTACATTGATAAAGATATGGAAAATTCCTAAAACACCCTAATTAATGTCTAAACATGTTTTAAACTTTCCATAATAAAAAAAAGATGCAAAGCAACACGAATGCAACGTTTAGACGCATTCAGGTTGATTGCATATGGTGTTTTCTTGGTGGGTGGGGGTTTGAAAATGCAATTAGACATTGATTAGAATGATTTAGAAATTCCCTAGATTTTCCTAGACACCTTCCTATTTTCCTATTAGTAAATCTATTTTTTTGCAAGCTTTTAAAGATATTTAGACATTGATTAGAATGATTTAGAAATTCCCTAGATTTTCCTAGACACCTTCCTATTTTCCTATTAGTAAATCTATTTTTTTGCAAGCTTTTAAAGATATTTTCATGAGCTCTAAATATTTAGTTGGGTTTATTGTGTCCCAATCTATTACTAGGTTTTTTTCTCAAAATTTGGAGGAGCTCGAAGATTTTTTCTTGTTAAAAAACCCCTTATCACGCGTTTATTGGATTTGTTTTTTTATCTAAAATCGATGAAACCATCCTTAAAACCACTTCAAACCGGGTAGGTAGGTGAGGTATGAAACCATCCAGTTTTTGAGTTTAAGTTGAAAAAAAATCTGAACGTCAATAGCTCGGATAGTTTTTTTTTTTTTTTTTTTGAGAATCGCTCGGAGAGTTAAAATGGACTTTTTTTCTCTCAGGAAAATCACACACTTCGGCGCTTCGCCAAATCACCTTCTAATGGGCCATGGTCTCTCAGTGGTGTGCAAGGTGAGCCCACAGTCTGTCTGATTTTCTGATGGTGGGCTAGTTGTGGGCTTATGGCGGCGCTGGCTGTTGACCTGCCCCGGCCCATGGAGACATGCAATTGGCACCCCGCACCCCGTACCGACTACACAAGTTCAAAACTTCAAATCCCTTGTCGGACTCCCGACTCCCACTCGAACTCGACTTGCATTCTTTCGCCTCCTTGCACTCCTCCATATAAACACGGTCTAGACCCAGCATTCTACCGCCCCGCCATAGCTTCCTTTCTCCCAAACCAATCTCCTCGATCCCTCCGATCCCACACCAGCAAACCACCTCCATCGATCCGATCCCGGCCGCCATGGCGCCAGAAGCAGCTTCCCGGCGGGGCGACGACACGCACATGAAGCTGCTGTGCAGCCACGGCGGCCGCTTCCAGCCCTGTGGCCCCGACGGCGAGCCCCGGTACGTCGGCGGCGAGACGCGCGTCCTCGCCGTGCCGCGCGCGGTATCCTTCCGAGACCTGGCGACGCGGCTGGCGGAGATGGCCGGCGGAGGCTCGGCGGCGGAGGTGCGCGCCATCAGCATCAGGCACCGCCTCGCGGACGAGGGCCTCGAGGACATCATCGTGACGGTCACCTGCGACGAGGAGGTCGCGCACATGCGCGACGATTTCGACCGCCTGCGCGCCACGCGGCCGGCCGCGAGGTTCCGTGTCTTCGTCACCACCACCGCATCCTCCTCCGCTGGTCCAAAGAGAGCGACGGCGGCCGGGCTCCCACCCCTGCCGCCGCCGTTGTCGATGCGGCGCGTGCAGAGCGAGCAGGCGGTCCCCACGCGAGCGCAGCACCAGCACCGACCGGCGCGGCGCGTCCACAGCGCGCAGGAGCTCGCGGGAGGAGTCCACATGCAGCCGTCCTCCAATACCACCATCGCCACCAGCACTGCTGCTGCTGCGGCTCAAGCCAGCGCCGTGACCGGTACACGCCCGCGCCACCGCCTGCGCGTCCGACGTACGCACTGCCCTACATGTCCAAGAAGGTAGCCGCCGCTCCTCTTTCGGTGTCCGCGGCGGAGGCGGCAGGGCGGGTGGCGGCGGTTTCCACCGAAGGAGCAGCCGCGAGGGAGAAGGCGACGAGCAGAGACGTCGAGACGGCCGTGCAGAATAGAAGAGCGATCTGGGAGCTGGAGTGAGGCGTGCCAGGATTAGGGCTTAGATCTTGGTGATCTACTGATCCTGTTGAGTTATCACCGTTGGCTACATATACAAGCTGTAAAAATCTTTAATCTTCGTGATTGTTTGTAACACCCTCTCTGCTTCTTCGTCCAAGATTTAGTTGGGACGATTGGCTGTTTACTGTATTTGGCAGCCACGGCAAGAAATTGTTGATCGTTTTCTCTCACTATTTCCCCACTGCAACAGATATAAACAGTAAAGATTAATTATCCCGTGCCTCTTGTTGATTACTGTATGTTACAATTGCATCAAATTCCTTTCAAGAAATAGATTCGCATTAGTTCCTTGTTGATAGTGTTCGCGCGAGTTCATTAAGCAACCAGATTGAACTAATAATTGGGTTTCGTCACGCTTAATCAACCTGAATATAAGAAGGGGAAGCTACTATACGACAATTTGCAGGGTTTCAGGCATGTTTACTGCATACTACACAGATTCTAAGCGAAGCTATGGTTTTGACTTTTGACTGATGCTACATAAACCAGGCAATGTGATCCCATTACAATCGCATCTTCTTTTTAGAACAATTCCCATCGCATCTTTTTTTTTAGAACAATTCCCATCGCATCTTCTCTGACTGAAAAGCATCAAGCTTGGAGCTGGAGCTCCGATTTGCAGCCGGAAACAAGCCATGGGCTCGCGCGTGGCGGTTGCGTGAATCCAAACAGGCCCAGGGCCCTCAAAGCCCAGGCCTCTCTCAACCCGCATCAACTGCGAGGCCCCATGGACCTAGGCCTGCATACGTGGCCCAGCGTAAAAAGAGCCACTCAGGGCCAACAAGTCTTGATTAACAATTGTCGCCTTGTGTGCCCGCTCACAAGCACGTGGGGCCTGCCCCGCGCCAGTGGGGACTGCCTCCGTCTTCCCGCGCCTGACACCGAGGCGAGACAGCAGAAAGGCGAGGAGGGAGATGGAAGACTCGATCTTGTTTTGAAATATCTAGATGCAACAATTGCAAGATACAACTGAAAACAAATGAAACATTTGAAACATGTGTCTGAAACATTTGCAAAAAACACCTGAAAACACTTGAAACCATTGTAAACATACACAACTTTCAGATAAAACACTTGGATCATATGAGTAAAAACATATGCAACATCCAGATAAACAAATTTACAACATACGTCGGAAAAAACAGATGAAACATTGAGAACAAGAGCTTGCAACATACGTGTATAATCATTGCAACGTGTGCAACATCCCGATCAACTTTTGCAACAACCGTATGAAACACTTGCAACATACCTCTGAAACATTTGAAACACTTGAAACAGACGCTTGCAGCATGCGTTTTTTACCCTTCTTCCGTACGACGCAGTGCAGAGCAGGGGACGGTCGGTTCAAGCCAGCCGACAGCCTAGGATGGTGGCGTGGCCTGGTAGCGGCCAGTTGTGCTTGCGCCTGGCCTAGGCATGGCTAATGACGCCCCCTCTCCTAGCCGCCTGGCGTGGCCGCGACGAAGGACGGAGCACGGCGGGGGACAGAGGGGCCGCTGCACTCGCCGATCACGCGCATGGAGCTTGGAGGCGGAGAGCGAGGCGCCGGCGACCGACTCCAGCGTGTGGCAGAACAGCCCGAAATAACACACCTTCGGAGACGCTTGTCTTCCACTAGACACTAAGCACCCCGAAAGCAAGCTACATCGGACGGTTCCGTCGAGCACACCCCAATGGAGAACTCGAACAATCCATGTTTTTCCTCCAGGATCTAATAATGAGAACGAGTTTACAATACTTAGTCCATTTCATACATCAAGAGTTCTCAGAAATACATTATTACAATACTAAGTTCAGAGTACGGAATTTAAACAGCGGAATTGAAATAAACTTCTAACGATAAGATACAAGGATCCGTCTGTGCCCACCAGAAGAATCCTCCACACAACAGTCACTCCTCAAGCTGCACCTGCAATAGGGGTAAATAAACCATGAGTACACAATGTACTCGCAAGAATTACCCGACTAGTGGGAATAATTTCCCAACTCCAAAGGATATGATAAGCTTTATAGTTTGCTGGGTTTCCTTTTTGCAAAAAACATTACTAGTAGTGAATCCTTATGTATGTTTTATTAGTAGTCATGATTAGTTCATTAGCTAACCATTCTATGTAAGCACATGTTCTACTTTCAAGCAAGAGTTGAGCAATCAGATCCATTAAATCATCTTTTATCTTCTAGTTTTTACTATGGTGCTAGATCGTAGACAAGTCGTACCGTATTGTACGGTGATTCGCGAATCAATGTAGCCCAGCTGGGTACCCTGAAACACACGCCCCGCTTGTATCCCAGGCACAAGCAAGACTAACCTACCACTCTCCTGTCAAGGGATCCAGGTCCTCGTCCAAACTTGGACTCAGTGTGGTGCTTAGACCTCCACCATCCCCGCCTTCAATTTGTTGGTCCGGAAAGAGCCGGAACCCACGACAAGAGAGCAACGAGCCTTTCCGCTCCCATAAGCAAGTATGTGTTCAGATGATAAGTCTGTGATCTGACTAGAATCCAATGCAACGGCCGGTCCTTATCCGACATGGACATGAAAAACAGTGTAACTAAGCTATGCCCCGTTGGCCGCGGGACACAACCTCTTACACCCACCAATACCCGTACCATATCCCTACCCGGTCTCCATTTCTTTTCACCATTTTATCATGAGAGTGATAATAATAATCACATATTATGAGTAACGACAGGTTACTCACGCTACCGATAGCCTAAGCATAGCAGCTACTCGACCTATGCTAGTAGGACTCATAGGTAGCTTATTTATGCATGTAGTTTCAATATAAATCATGTAATGTAAATACACATCACATATATATATCCAGTGATCATTCAAAATAAGGGTTATGCACTGGGGCTTGCCTTGGGCAGACACGGTGTTAGCTCAGTTAGTCAGTGGCGGCTTTGGGACCTCCTCCTGCATGAAGATCTCCTCCTAGTACTCCTCGATCACCTCCTTGAACTTATGATCTTCAATGGTCACGATCTCCGCTAACTCGTTCTCTACATGCATGCGATGATGATACAACACTTAGCATTTTAGCAACAGCAACTCTTAAAATAATAATACACATGGTAAACAACTAAGCTATCTCTCATGACTACGATACTAAGCTAACTATTATCTTCATCAAGTAAAGTGTTGGGTTCAACTAACAAACACCTAGCTTTACAAATGAAGGATATATCTCTATTTCTACTAATGATTTAATGTATATTTGAAACAAAGAGCATTTAACTACCCTTATGTTAAGTCTATTCTAAAACTACAAAAATTATAGTGAGCGCATAATAATACCATGAAGCTACTATAAAATTTCCAAAGCTAAAGCTATCCCCATTTTACCACAAAAATTCCTACAATAATTAAAATAATAGTATTAAGCACTCTCAAATGATTTAATAACTCCTGATATCGACAAGTATATATATAAATTAAATACACTAACAGATAGAGCACAATTTTAGAAACTTAACAAAATTGGTTTCACAATTTTTGGATACCTACATGATTTTATATAATTTATCAAAGATCAGCTCAGAAATACAAATAAAAAGCTATTTCTATTCTCTACGAAAAAACTAAATCGATTTCGCCCAACATGTCCACATCGCGGACGTGTGCTGCAGACGAAGACGAAAGACGGTGGCCCATAGGCGCTGCCCACACGCGAGGTCGACCTACTGGAGGGCGGCATGGCGAGGAAGCCTGCCAGGCATTCTTGCAAAAACACCCCGGGACTATGAGCAAAACAACCCGCAGTCCACATTACTATTTCTATAGACAGCGGCTTTACAACGAAACCCTCGGAACTTTCTCCTCTTTACAACGGCAAGGTCCTCGACCATTCCCATACGCGCCGGCGCGGCGAGCGATGGCACTGGCGCTTACGCCGGCCACACGGGACCCATGCTGATCTATCTACGAGGCCGACGCTCACCTAGGGTTCGATGCAAGACGATGGACGGCAGTTGCACGAGCCGGGACACCGTAGAAGGACCTCTCCACGACGGTGGGCACCCTACGTCAATGGCAACGACATTCAGGTGAGCCGCAACAACAACAAGTTGGTAGGGGTAGCGGGTGAGCACCGACAGCTCACTAGTGACCTTACCGAGAAGCCGGCTCGGCTAGAGATGACCCAAGCGAGGCTGGCCATGTGCGCGCTGTGAGGTGAACGGCGGACCGCAAAGGCACGGCCACGTCAGCGGTGAGGAGGCAGCACTAGAGCTGTGACTAGCGTGTGCACGACGAAGAGGGAGACAAGGTAAGCTAGTGGTGTAGAGGAATTGGCGCGGGGTGAAGTGGTGGAGGCTGGCACGGTGGCGGGCAAAGCTCCAAAATTGGAGCTCGGCTGAGCCACAATCAAGGCAGGGTGGGGTCGGCTGGAGAGGGGACGTGAAAGTAGAGACGCGAGCACGAGGAATTGATGAGAGGTGCTCGCTCTCTGACTCGCCGTGACGCGACTCGGTGGCGGCGAAAAGCAGAGAGAGAAGAGAGAAATGGAGCACGACAGTGGGCTTGGCTCATCCTTGCCTTGGTGGGATGCGAGCGGCGAGCTCGGGAGGCCCACACGTCGGCGCTACGGACAACGTGTGCCCACGTTCGACCAGGCGTGGCCCGCGCATCGCAGTGCCATAAATGGTATGGCGATAGCGGCTCGCCCACGTGAAAGGTCCTAATGGCTAGAGAGGGGTGAACAGCCTATAAATTTTTTTTACAACAACACTTAACAAACCAGTTAGACAATTATGGGGCGAAGCAAGTGTTGCGCTAGCCTACTAAAAATGCAAGCCACCTACCACAATTCTAGTTTTTTTTAGTTTCTAACCACATAATGGCTATGACACTACACTAAGTTAGTGTGCTCTCAAAGGCTAAGTAAAGAGCCACACTAACCAAACTAACAAGCTCTCACAATTAGCTACACTAAAGAGCTTCACAACTAGTTTACGGTAATGTAAAAAGAGTGAGCAAGATAGTTATACCGCCATGTCGAGGAATGAACCAATCAATCACAAGAATGAATACCAATGACGACCGATCACCTCGGAATCAAATGATGAACACAAAGATTTTTACCGAGGTTCACTTGCTTGCCGGTGTAACACCCCTAGTGTTACGAGCTCATTTAGCACCAAGATTTAGGCCTAAGAAAATTTTTAAAATGATTTTTCTCAGATTTTAAAATTTGACTTATGTA